ACCCATTTCAGTATTCTTGCCTGGGAAATCCTGTGGACAGAGGAGCCTGGTAGATTGTAGTCCATGGGGAAACAAAAGAGTTGGACAAACAACAACAAAAGCATTCTATTAGATAACAACTCCTTGAGGTAAAAGCTGAATTAGTTTAAAGCTGAAAGCCATAGGCAAGGTTCAGTTCAGTTCATTCGCTCAGCCATGTCCGACTCTTTGCAAACCCATGGACAGAAGCATGCCAGGCCTCCCTGTCCAACACTAACTGCCAGAGTTTACTCAGGCTCACGTCCATTCAGTCGGTGATGCCATCCAACCATCTCATCCTCTGTTATCCCCTTCTCCTCCTGCCTTCAATCTTTGTCAGCATCAGGATCTTTTCCAATGAGACAGTTCTTCACATCAAGTGGCCAAATATTGGAGTTTCAGCTTCAGCATCAGTCCTTCCAATGAATATTCAGGACTGATTTCTATTAGGATGGACTGGTTGGATCTCCTTGCAGTCCAAGGGGCTCTCAAGAGTCTTCTCCAGCACCATGGTTCAAAATAATCAATTCTTTGGTGCTCAGCTTTCTTTATGGTCCAACCTTCACATCCATACATAATTACTGGAAAAACCATAGCTTTGACTAGATGGACATTTTTTGGTTAAAGTAATGTCTCTGCTTTTTAATATGCTGTCTAGGTTGTTCATAGCTTGTCTTCCAAGGAGCAAGCATCTTTTAATTTCATGGCTGCAGTCACCATCTGTAGTGATTTTGGAGCCCCCCAAAATAACGTCTGTTTGTTTCCCCATCTATTTGCCATGAAGTGATGGAACCAGATGCCATAATCTTAGTTTTCTGAATGTTGAATTTTAAGCCGACTTTTTCACTCTCCTCTTTCACTTTCATCAAGAGGCTCTTTAGTTCTTCTTTGCTTTCTGCCATAAGGGTGGTGTCATCTGCATATCTGAGGTTATTGCTATTTCTCCCGGCAATCTTGATTCATCCAGCTTGTGCTTCATCCAGCCCAGCGTTTCTCATGATGTACTCTGCATATAAGTTAAATAAGCAGGGTGACAATATGCAGCCTTGACATACTCCTTTCCCGATTTAGAACCAGTCTGTTATTCCATGTCCGGTTCTAACTATTGCTTCTTGACCTGCATGCAGATTTCCTAGGAGGCAGGTCAGGTGGTCTGGTATTCCCATCTCTTTAAAGAATTTTTCAGTTTGTTGTGATCCACACAGTCAAAGGCTTTGGCATAAAGGTAAAGTAACTTGGGCCTATTCAGCTACAGATAGCTACAGGCAAGGTAACTTGGGGCTATATAGTCACTCTGGAAAGAATAGGTGTTTTGACTTAGTTTGAATCTCTATAATGCCACAGAAAGTTATGTGATCTCCTTTGTATATTTCTCCCAGAAGCTAGACAGTATTACAAAATGTGCAGCCCTCCAAAAGAGGGCCAAGTTTCTAGTATTTGTGAAATGAATGATTCAAACTTGAATCTTTTTAAACTCAGTCTTTATGTTGTTTAGTGGTAGAAATTATGAATTTCCTACTTTTAGAGTTATTGAAAGTTTGCCACGTGGTTAGAGGGGCTTCTTTGGTCTGCCAGGAACCTAACATATTATTTTCCCACTTTGGTGAAATTATATTGAGTGTTTATGTTCATAACCTTGACTGTGCCATCTATATGGACGGTTTCTTGTACTGTCCATAGTTTAGCAAGAACTTGCTAAAATTGCAGTCAACTAAGAGAAGGGAGATCTAATAATATGTCTTTACAAATTGGTAGGAAAGATATAGTCCAGATTATTTCTACTTTGAATTAAGTGTTTTGTGCTTATTATCAGTTAGAGTTTCCTAAAAATTAAAATCATGGGAAGATGATTCAGTATGAGGAAATACCTAATATCACTTTCCTTTTTTTCAAACTAGAGTCATGATGGAGTCATCAATAAAAATGGTCAATATATAGCCAGCAAAAATAAGCATTGGTAATATATATTTAGCATGAATTATATAGAATTGGATATATTATCATCTACATTGGTAAGAATAAATCAAAAAATTGCACTGGAAATTAATACCTACATCCTGGCAGAGGAATAGCATATTTCCAGAGACTAAAATACTGGAAGAGGAGAGGCGGTCAGCTCCCATTTCACCATCTGGTGATGGTTGTGATAGATAACATTTAGTAGACAAATTGTCAGACACTGTGAACATCAGTTAATGTGTTCATTATCTCAGACAATTTTAAATAAAAATTCTTACAAGATAGGTATCATTATTTTTATGTTCATTTTGTAGATGAAGAATCTAAGCCTTCAAAAAGTAGTCTACCCAATGTCATACAGCTTGTGAAAGACCAGTATGGAGTCTGAGATCAGTTCAACCTATCATTAGTCATATAATCTCAGTGCGATGCTGATGAGGCTGCAAATCTTTTGTGGATTGGAGTGAAGTCAGAGAACAGGACAGGACTTCTTTAGGAGTGCAGTAGCCCTGGACCAGAGCAGAAGCACCAGCCAGCCTAACCACCGCTAACAACGGCTAGCAAGATGGGGGTTGCAGGTTGGTAAAGAGAAGACTTTGTTGTAAAGCCCTCATGGCAATGATACCATTTTAAGCTCTATCAGGAGGGGAAGCAAGATTTAGAACATATGATTTAGATACTGTTTCCTGAAGCTACTTTCAATAAAGCATTTTGCAGGTCATCCAGCTCCAGTGCAGAGCCATTTTAGACTGCAGAACCTAAGCAGAGGAGAAAAAGTGTAGATACAGTTGGTGTAGTTACCTCTTGATCCTAGATATAAAAAAGACACTTTTCTAATCATGTCCATCTGGCTGTGAAAATGGGAAGATTTAATCCAACAACCCATGGAAATGAGGTTTTGTAACCAGCACATGAGCTTTCTATGGATCCTGTTTGAGTTTGGCCTGTCAGTAATTTTACCTTAGCTTCTTCCCAAAATCTACCATTAGACATCCCGTTAATGCCCTGTTGGGCTTCCCAGGGGGCACAGTGGTAAAGAATCCATCTGCCAATGCAGGAACTGTAAGAGACATGGGTTTGATCTCTGGGTTGGGAAGATTCCCTGGAGTAGGAAATGGCAACCTGCTCCAGTATTCTTACCTGGAAAATTCCATAGACAGAAGAGCCTAGTGGGCTACAGTCCATGAGGTTGTAAAGAGTCAGACATGACTCAACAACTGAGTATGCATACCAACACAACACCCTTTTAGACATCCTCTATGATTTAGCAAAACAATTACCCCATAGAGTCATAGGTACCCGTAAAAGTAATAAATGGCCTCCCTGAGATAGTTTACAAACAAAACAATAAAGTTAAGAAAAAAAAAAAAAACAACTACACATTCCCACCACACACAAACCATGAAAACCAACCCTACATGTGAAATAGATCTCCCATAGATAATAAAGAGTTGGACACGACTGAGCGATTAACAGTTTACATTTTGCAGATAATAACAGATTTATATAATACCAAACATCTAGTCTGAGGGAAATAAAAGCAAATATGGCTGCAATGAAATAAAGTCAGGGTGAAATTTCATAGCAAAATGAATGAATAAAAAGTGATATTTTAAGCAAGCATTGAAAGTAAAACAACATTTTTTTTATTCTAAGACATACATTTTAGCTTTTAACATGTCTGTAATGGGGACCTTCTTAATGACAGCCTCTTTTGAATACTTGGAGTCAAGGTAATGTATAATGCCCCTTTTATTAATAAAACATGGGAGAAATGGTGTTATTTCTGCTTAATCGTCCCTGCCTTTGGTCTCACTCAGTAAAACCTAGGGCTTTTACCATGAACTGCATGGCTTAGTAAGATCTGGTCACCCAGCTGCTCCTCTGACTACATCTCCTAGGATCTTCCCTCTTTTTTAACTCTGCTATCTGCTACAGTCATACTGGTCTCCTTGCTCTTCTTGGACCATCCAAACATGCTTCTGCCTCTAGACCATTGCCCTGTTTCTTTCCTCTTCCAGGAATGCTTTTCCTGCTAAGAACTGCGTGATTCACTCTAACATCAACTTTAGATATGACACTTTCTTACTTAGATTTTCCCCAGCCATCTTATCTAAAATTGCATTATTCTTATACTCCTTATCTACCTTTCTACTTCATTTTTCTTTTTTGCACTTATTATCAAATGAGAGATATTTCATTTGTCTTGCTTATGGTTTGTCTTTCCCAATAGAATATAAGTTCTGGTAAAAGCAGGAATTTTTGTCTGTTGTCTTCATCATTGAATCTCCAGGCCCTTGAAGAATGCCTGATATAGAGAAGGCACTTAGTAAATATATGTATGCTGAATATAAGAATAAATAAAATATGGACAAATACTTTAAAATTTATATAAATGTGTTAAATTTAAAGCAATACATTGATGGGTTCCATGCTCAGATGCTGGTGGGTTACTTGGGAGAGGTGTGACTGTCACACACAGCTTGTCTAATGGCATGTGGACTAGGTGTCAAGTGTCTTGAGATATAAGCCTGCCTCTGTTACCAGCTGAATGAAATGTAGCCAGTTAATCCCCTGGGCCTCCAGGCTGGACTGAATAATCTATATGGATGCTATAACATGTCAGTTAATTGAGTATTCTGCTCAAAACAGTTGAAAAGTGAAAAGCAGGAAAGAAAAGCTGAAGATGTGAAACCGTATCTTTTAACATAAATATTATCACCACAAACAGTGGTAATGAGAGAGTTATTGCAAAAGAATTTTGAGATTACTTGTAGTTCATTTTCCTTTGATTTACAAATAGTGAAACTGAGGCCCAAGGTTTGAAAGATTTATCCAAAGTCAAGTGCTTTGGTTGCAGACCTTAGACCTCTACATGATATCTCTGACTATACTGGTGACTCTTCAAAAAAAAATATTCTTGTGCTTTTTAAAAAAAATATAATATTCATCTTAGATTCAAAGAATTCACTTAGTGGCAGGAATGTATAGATCAGCTGATCTCTCTTTGTGATCTAACACAGCTTACGGAAGAGATTGGAAAACTGGAAGATAAAGTGGAGTGCGCTAATAATGCCCTGAAAGCAGATTGGGACAGATGGAGACAAAACATGCAAAATGATATCAAGTCAGCATTTACAAATATGGCTGAGGAAAACATCCTCTATTATGAACAGGTAATTAGTGATATGCGGTATTGCTTTCTTTTTAAAAAATTATCCTCTCTCTTACTTTCTGTTTGTCTTGTGTTGAAAGAGTCTGTTCAGGAGCCAAGTGTCACGTTCAAAATCCTCTTTGGTGGCTCAGTGCCTTGGAGCTGCCAGTTAATAGAGCATAGCCAAACCCACCCACCAACACTACTGTGTTTACCTGTAAGAAGGTGATGAGCTTTCCTTCCTCCACAGCATGCCCAAGTACCTAATTTGAGCTGAGCTTGATGTGAGAGAGAATTTTGCTATCTTTATGTAAAACTCAGAATATAGGGGGAAGGGAAAAGAAGTAAGTGCCATTTTGCACTGGTGGCTCAGATGGTAAAGCATCCACTTACAATGTGGGAGACCTGGGTTCAATCCCTGGGTCGGGAAGATCTCCTGGAGAAGGAAATGGCAGCCCTCTCCAGTATGCTTGTCTGGAGAATCCCATGGATGGAGAAGCCTGGTAGGCTACAGTCCATGGGGTCACAAAGAATCAGACATGACTGAGCAACTTCACTTTCTTTCAATTTCAAGATTAAGACTCAGGATGAAAGGAAGCGATTTAAGTTTAAGAAGTAGCCATAAGAAAAACTGAAATGTAATATGTATTAATGAAGTAGACAAGAAATGACAAAACCACCATGAGTTGTATTCATGACTTTTAGCAGTTATACTGAAGTTGTTTCAACCAGTGCCAAATTGAAATGGTTTCATAATATATTACATAAAAAGCTACAAATATTTTATATGTTACAACTGAGCTTATTTAAACACTGATTTTTTTATTTTCGTATTTTCCTATTATTTCCCTAATTTTAAACAATACCAATAAACTGAACAGAATCTTATATAAGAAAAAAAAAATTAAATGCTACCATTTTGTTTTGTTTGTCTTCCCTTCAGTTTCTTGTTTTGGCAGGATCTGACATCTTAAAAATCATTTGATCAGGCTGCCTAATGATTCTCCTATCTGATTAAAATTTCATTTCCTCTTCTTTTCTTACCCGGGCTTCCCAGGTGGTTCAGTGGTAAAGAATCCTCCTGCCAATTCAGGGGACACTGGAAACATGGGTTCTATCCCTGGGTCAGGAAGATTCCCTGGAGAAGGAAATGGCACCCCACTCCAGTATTCTTGCCTGGAAAATTCCATGGACAGATGAGCCTGACTGGTTACAGTCCATGGGGTCTCAAAAAGTTGGATATGACTTAGCCACTGAGCATGCATGCTTCTTTTCTTGTATTGTTTGCAAAGTCAGGAAAGAAACAGAAGTTTGAATGAGCAGGAAACTAGTTCAGAGCTTATACCTTATGTCCCTTCCATCCGCACCTTTCCTCTGTAGCTGTTCAAAAGGTCAAAAAGGAACATTAGTTCACTTTAGTTTAGTTCAGTTGGTTTTGTTTGTTTCTTTCTTTGTTTACCTTAGGAAAAGTACCTAATCAACATTTTGCTTTTCAAATGATTGTCTTTTTTGAACACAGTAGTATTTATTTTCAGTGAATTTTATGCTATTGCTTAATTTATCTAGCATATTCTGAACATACTTTTCTTAGAAGGTATATATTAAAATACATCTTTAACCTTATTTCTGTCTGAATATAGGACTATGAAATTGATACATTAAGAAAATTATATTTTGTACTTGGAGTGCTTGCCAGGTTAAAGGTACTTTAAAATATTTTATATTTTGCAAGATTATCTAACTGATACTGATATTTTCATTCAGCAAGAAATACTTGAGCCCCTACTACCACCAGCCACTGTGCTGGGTCCTGGAGAGACCACAGTATGCAAGACAAACACAATCTCTTTCTCATGTTACAATTAAAACAAAACATTATAATAAAAACTATAATGAGATCCAGGATAGGAAGACTTTGCAGGGGCATCTAACCTAATCTAGAAGGAAAGAGGAAGATTCCTCAGAGGATATATTTAAGCTGAGTCCTGAGTAATGAATGAGAGGTAGCGAGATTTAGATGTGAGGAAGAGAGTTCCAGACAGAGAAGACATGCACGAAAGCAGAGAGGTGAGAGAGAACGTGTTCAAATTACTGAGGTTCCTTCTGGGAGAATGGTGGAGTGGAGATAGTGTTGAATTGAAAAATGAGGCTTATAGAGGAGGAAAATGTTTCCCTCAACCCTCATAGGATCCCTGACTGAGTCTGAAAGTGAAACTGACAAAGATAAATTCACAGGAGAAAAAGCACACAAGCTGAATGAATGTAAGTTCTTTGTGGCACAGGAGCCTTCATCAACAAGTCAAGGTCAGAAGAAACAGATCTGAGTATTTTTATGCCAGGTTTGATGACGATTGGGCTGTCGTGTAGAGAGGGGTAGGTTAAGGAGTATAACGTAAGCACAGTAAGCTGAGAGAGACTTAGCAAGGCCTTTTTGTTAGGAGTCTTCTCATGTCCTTTGGCTTCGGAGGTAAAGATGCACCTTTCCTCTGGGGGTGAGGATCCCACCTCTTACTTGAGGATTTTATGACTTGCCTCAGGAGATAAGGGTTGGAAGAAGGTCAGAGTGACCTTTCCATTTCTATTTCTCAAACTCATTCATCTTAATATGCCAGCGTGTCATATTTTGTGTTAGTATGTCCTGAACCCTATTAGGCTGAAGAGGGCCTTAATAAGCTTTGTCTTTTATTTCTCATTCTAAGGGAAATGGGAAATGCCATTAAAGAGTTTTCACAGGGAAGAGACAATTTGGACTTGCCTTTTAGAATGATCACGCAGGCTGAATATGGGTCATAGTGGAACAAAACTAAACATATTGAGCCTGGTTAGAAAGTGTAGCAACAAAGACAGAGAGGTGAACTGACATAGAGGTTTCATGGCAGCAGGCTAGAGATTGGAGGACAGATTTAAATGATTTTCTTTTTAGCAAGTGGGGTTGGAAAGGATGCTTTCTACCTTCCTTTTTTATTCTACATTAACAACCTTAAGTAAATTTAAATATCTAAAAGGAACTCCCCATAAGTCTCAGATTTTGAAATGATTTAAAATATTTCTGTTAAAGCAGGTATGTCACTATATGCTTTTTTTTTTAACAACTTTAACTGTTTTAAACCCACAGAAATAACTTTATTTCTCTTTTATGATAGAACATGGCCACACTGACATTATAGGAGTGCTATGACAGTTAATAATTGAAATAATTTTTTAAGAAAATTAGAATATATATTATACTATAAGTGATTGCAATTATAAAACATATTAGGTTATAAAAATCATGTGACAAACACTCATACTATGTTGTCCTCCCAATGATAATGTCTGCAAAACTTAGTTCTAAGTTTGGATTTTTAATTTTTTTTAAGAGAAAATGTTCATAGTAGTTCCATTGAAGTTCAACTGAAATGTTCAGATTTTGACAATACCTCTCACATAAATGCACATTTTTTTTTATTTTCATAGATTGCGCTCAGTTTATACAAAATACTATCTTCTTAGAAATAGTTAAATTAGCATCACTCTGCCATATTGCCATATTGCCAATTTTGTCCATCACAGCAGTTTATATCTATGTTTTTAACTCTTTCCTCCAGGTGAATTGTATTTCTAAATCTTACTAAAATTGTATCAAGTGTACGGCATTTTAGATGGAGATGTTTGGAGGAATCATTGGTTTCCTTTATAATAGCTTCATAAGGTCTCTACAGCTCAAGTTATTTATTGAGTTTTTTCCTGAGTAAATAACTTTTAACTGATTTGGCACATCATTCCAGGCATAATCGGAAATTGAAGCCCTCATATAATCAAGGCTTCCTAATTAACACATAGACTGTATGGCCTGAAACAGCAACAGTCTGCTGTTATCTTCAGAATATGTCAAATATATAAGGAAGTAAGATGTTTCAGAATCTTTCCATTTCCTTTTTAATTTAATCACATTATTATGGAAATACTTCTTTTTTCATCAACATTTGTAAAAAAAAAAATAAACCCCCAAAGGGGTTTGCCCCTAGTGTGATAGAAAAAATAGGGTATAAACATTTGTCTTTGGACTTTTATGAAGTGAAATGGTCACAACTTGTTTATAACTTAAAATTTAACTATTAAAATGACAGAGGAAAATCAGTTTGTAAACATGAGATATGTCTGTATCAAAGGCCAGTTATTGTCTAACTGAAATATTGTACTTAGATGTGTGAATTTACTTAGAGACAGTTGGCCTCAAATATAAAACAAGGATCTGAAATAAACTCTCATTAGGTAAAATGAAGCTATTCCCAATTGTGTTCTATATGACCAATAACTAAGAATAAACTTGGATCTTTTTTGAAAAAATAAGAAGAACAAAGCAATAAAACCAAAAATCCCATTAAACATAGGTGAAAAATTTCAAAGTGAATAATTTCAAAGTATGTTAGTATCCAGATAACCAAAGAAAGTTATTTCTTGCTAAAACGTGAAGGGATGCTAAAACTATAAACTATGACATGTTGGATAAAGTGCACAGACATTTTCTAATTGTTCTTTAGTGGGTACAAAATAAGACTGCCCAGGTGGCTCAGTGGTAAAAATCCGCCTGCAGTACAGGAAATGCAGGTTCAATTCCTGGGTTGGGAAGATCCCGTGGAGAAGGAAATGGCAATCCACTCCAGTATTCTTGCCTGGGAAATCCCATGGACAGAGAAGCCTGGCAGGCTACAGTCCATGGGGTTGAAAGGGTCAGGCATAACTTAGTGAATAAACAACAACACAAGGTACAAAATAGTCTGTTTTTATTGTTGTTGATGATGCCGATGCTGATAATTATGATGATGGTGAAGAAATTTAAAAGGAAGGAATCCTTGGTAGATATCAGAAACTGAAGTAATATGCTCTTTAAAGTTTAATTTTAATATTATAATCATGAAAAGATCACATAATATTAATTAATGCCAAATAAAATAATTTTGTAGTTAACTGAATATAATACTTGAAGTAGTAAAATTTATTTCTTTGCATAGTTTATTTTAGAGTTAATATATGGAAGTC